AAAGAGAGAGAGAGAGAGAGAGAGGAATTTTGGTCACTTTCAAAATGGTTTCTTAAATTTTAGCAATACATAGAAGACGAGAGACAATATTCGGGAAGTTTCGATACTTAGAAAGCCACCAAGAAACCTTAATCAATATTTGGAAGATCGTAACTTCAAGAGGGAAACTTCTCAAAGAACATAAATCACAATCCCACAAAAATTCATAATGCTAGTAAGGCAAAACAATGTTATGAAATGGATGGATAGAAAGTATAACGATAAACGATGACAATTTTATATCCTCCAAAAATCCTCTTCAGCTATCCATAAATTTCCCGGGTAGAATCGTTGGCAATTTTCTTTTCACTTGAAAAGTCTCATATAAAATCAAAATGATTTGAAACTAAATTTCTTTATTTTCAATTACGGTGACATGTCAAGACTGTGTAAACTATGTGATATTAAGCAAATGGTATGAAGAGGGAATGAATGTTTACAAGAGAAGTAATCAGTGCCGTAAAATACTGATCAAAATGGTTTTTACAGATTTTGATTAGAGATAAACAAACAAAGTGTAGTTCAATATAAGAAACACGTGAGAGTGAAACAACAATTTTGAGTGGGATTAGTGTTAAACTTCTCATCCGTATTCAAAGAAAGCAGCCAGTATTTTGTTCCAAGAGAAGAGTCATATGGCAAACGCAAAGAGAACACCTTCTCTCTCGTCCATTGCCTTGTGCTCAATGTATCTTCAAAGCTGCTTATTGCTGATAGTGATAGCTGGGTTTATCAGCTCAAACAAACAGTAAATCTCGCAGTTGCATCGTTCACTCACCAAGGATGCGCTTGTGTCCCTCAAGGAAAAACTGAGGGAATGCCTTTAGACTTGATTTTGTAAAAGCGAATGCTAGTAACGTAAAGGAGAAGATCAACGCCTTTAATAAATTCTTGATGTATAACACGGATATATTCTCAGGAAAAAGATTTCATACGAATGAATAAATTGAGTATAACGCAGAATTAACAATAACATCATTTCAGCAAAAACTAGAAACTACAAGATGAAATGTGAACGGATTGGAGAACAAAGATGCAATGTACAATCATTAATTTTTCCCTTTTTTCGATTCTATAAAACTTTTGAATTGCTGCAGCACAATTTCTTCTTTTTTCTTTCTTTCGTCATGAGTAAAACCGCTCAAAAGCCGTTTCTCTTCAGCTGTCATAACCTGGAAAAACATTGAAAACATAGCTTAGACTTTTATGCAAAGACATTTTTATATATCACAGAAGAGTCACAAAAAAAGACAGATTCAATATCTCTACCAATCTAAGTTAGGCTGCGACGAGTGATATTAAACTGACCTGGTTTTCTTTCCTCAAACGGGTAGCTTCCATACTTTTATGTCTTGTGCCGCTCATCACATAACCTATTTTTTCATATTCTGAAATTTCTGCCGATGAAAGACCTATTTCACCACGTCGAGGTATTCGTTTTCCTTGTGCAATGTATGAAGCCATTGCTGCCGCTTCTCCTCGTAACATGTCCTTCCCATAACTGAAAAAAAATTTCATAGCTCAATTTATCTCTGTTCCTTCTGCTTACAACAAACTAACAATTTTCACTTCGCTGATAAACGGTTTTGGTTTTGTTTTGGATCTTTACACATATGATTTCATTAGTTGGCCAAATTGTGCAGAAAGCTGGCTTCCCTAACATGTTTTTAGCTAGAAATTTTAGTCAAAGAAAACCTTACTTTACTCTTTTTGTAGTATCCACTAAAGCAGCGTGTTTCTGTTGGAGATGGTCTGGTATTGCGGGTCCAATCATTGCAGCTTCTTCTAATTTCTCTCGAGCTGCTTCAGCTTCTCGCATTTCAGCGGTCACTTCCACCCACTCTTCGCTTTCGCTCGATGATTTCTTATGCTAGAATATCAAAGACTTATCGAAAACTTCACATTTTTTTTTTGGCTCAACCTGGAATATGATAATAACTATTAAGATATGCTGACAGTACCGTATCCGTATAATTGAAAATAGTTTAATAATAGATACACACATACATTTCTTTTTTAATATGGCAAAAAGCGAAATAATTTAAGAGTTCCAGGAAACAGGACAGGTCAGAAGTGTATATTACCACATCGTCTTGATAAAATATATACGATATGAGTTAAGAGGAAAATGCAGTAAACAAAAAGATAAACATTCAATAGAAAACCTTTTTCTTGTGCTTCTTTTTTTCTTTCTGTTTCTTTTTATTTCCTTTTTCTTCCTTTTTCGATCTTTTTGCCACTTCAGTGGCTTTAATATTCAAAGGTTGAGGCAGCTGTTCCTCCTCTTTTCGAAGCTCTTCCTCCACTCTTTCATACCTGAAGTAATCAATACAACTTTATAGCAGCAACAATATTTCGCAACCTTTTAGCTAAATAACATAGAAACCATCAGTAAGCAAGTTTAATAAGTATTTAAATTTTTTATCATAAAGAAATTAAATATAAAGCTAACAAAGCCCTCGATTACAATACGAACTAAGCTTACTCCTCATACACTTGATGTATTTCATGCATGAGGGGAGAACGTCCCCAAACACCGCGAACGCCCCACTCACAACGTCGTTCACGTTCCTTGCGACGCCTAAAAATATCGAATGTTCACAAAGAAATTCAATAAATGTATTATTCTTTTACACAAAGTAGGGTCGGTTAACAACGACGAAAACAACTTTCTGATAAACAACTACATATTTCAGTGCCGAATTTTGAAACACTAAACTTCACTTTATATTTTGAAGCAAGAAAGTATATTTTAGAGTATGAACTTCATTCTCTGCGTTCAAAGCTCGTTTTGTGTTCAAGATGACATTTAGATTATGCAGTGGCTGGTACAAGAAAGAGTAGAACTCGTGTGAATCAAATCAGATTGTAATGTACTTATCATCAGAACGAGGAAATTAGTTCGTCAAGTTAAGAATAAAAGATTAAGGATGTCTCTAATATCAACTTGAATACAAATTTGAAAAAATTCCGCCAGAAAAAGAAAATCCAAAAATTTTATAAATTTAAATTCTAGAAGAGGTAGATCAGTATTCTACAGATATTAAATGTATGAGAACGTTAAGTAAGAAAAATCCACTCTGCCCAGATAGCATCTTCTCGAGCATTTTTTTTCAGTGAATCCAGTTCCTGGTGATCACTGCCTTCACCATCGCTGGATTCTTTTTTGATACCTGCACGTCTTACAGAAGTTGGCGAGTGCGATGATCTAAAGAAAGAACTTTTTAAACCCTTAATAAAAATGCGACCAAAATAACATCCAAAAATTAAGGAACAAAGACAACATGATACAAACAAAAATGAAGGGAGTGGAATGAGAAAAAAGAACGAACAAATCAAATACCTCGTCGTTTTCCGAGATTTAGATACATAGTACCGTTCACGGGATATAGAACGGCTACTTCTTCTCTTATAACCATCTCTAGAACGGCTTCGCCTTCTATCGTCCTCATCCCGTTTTCTAGTTCGTCTCCGATTCCCATTTCGAACTTTCGGCGATCGTTAAAAAAAGAAAGTGAATTCTTTAAGCACAGGAAAGGCCTATGTAATGAAAACCCTATGTAAAGTGTAATAAATAATATCGTTATATCAAAAACTATGTTATCATCGATAAAGTTTGGTGAAATAAGTTTGAGATAACAGTATATAAGTGACAATTTAGCTGGCATGCATATTTCTTCCATGACGAGATCTGCTTCAATTTTTTCTTTACAATATAAGATAGGACATTTACAGAGGATTTATCAATGGAAAAATGAAGTGTGCAAAGGTCATATCCGAAAAGGAAACAAAAGTAGTTTATAGAAATCATGAAAGGAAATATACCAACCTTTTAAAATACCCGTCATTTTTCCGACGAAATTTCACAGGTAAATTGCTGTCATCAGAATGCTCGGATTCTCTTCGTTTCATTTCTTTTTCTTTTTTTCTAAAACTTTTCCTGTCTCCTAACTGCATCTCCACTGATGGTGTTGTTGAATGTCGATCGCTGTTATCATTGCTCTCGCTATATTCTGCTGAACTACTTGCTGTAGTTTCCGGACTTCCCCTTAAGCTATTCGTTCGAGATTTCATAGCTTATAATTTGATCTGAAACCATAAATAAACTTACATAAGCCAAACGTCAAACTTTTTCGCGTGAAAGTCAAAAAAAAGGAAAAAGTTGGTGCTGCTTCTCGTCATTTCTTTTCTTTGCAAACCAGAGTTCGCTACAAAACAAAACAAAATGTGATGGTTTCAGTTATCGTAACGAAGGCAATCTTAAACACTAAAACTGAATGATCTTTGAATTTGCATGATTACCTTCTATGCATCCATTAACAGTCTTCCCTCTATTTTACTTTTGTCTTTCAAAAATTGTTCAATCTTTAAGACAAGCATTACAAATCTAATCACCTATTCTTTTATAATAACTTCCATCTTGTTTTAGCATTTAATTCTATCAATTTCCAATTTTCCCCCGAGATATCCCACTCCCAAATCCCTAGTAAAAAAACTAATTTCTACAACAAAAAGAGGCGATCTTGTTGGTAGAAAACAGTTCGCTCATGCGCTGACTGGAAAGACGGGAAGACGTATGAACGAACTTTACGAGCAGGTGACACACTTTTGTCTGTGAAAAGCATTGCTGGGAGATGTTCGGTATATCATGTTGAGTTCTTGCATGCTATACTATGAATGCATGTTGTATATCTGTTCGTACTGCAGGTGATGTACAGTGGTTATGCTGTGCAATATGAATTGTAAATTTATCTGAGATTATCCTTTTAGAGACTTAATTCCAATGATGTTTTCGAAGAAAAATTGAAGCAAAAGTATAATACTCTCTTGGAAGTATAATACGCAACGTAACACAAAGTTGCAAATTTCTCTCCATTTCCACCTCAAACTTGGGTAGTTAAAACCTTTATTACGATAAATTTGTTAATACAACAAAGAAATCAGCAATTACACGTTTATCCAGGTGACTCATCGAAACACCTACTTTAAAATAATTTTGGTGTTCAGGAGCATCCTCTTCCACGAATAGGAAGGATCCTGATACAGTTTTGAGGTTACAGGAATCATCGAACTTTTCTTCGAAAACATGGCGCCTTTGTTACCATATACTAATCAATGATCATTAAGCAGAGATACAATTCTATGCATAGCGATAACATTCTACATACACAGAAAAGAATTTGGATGATTTTTATATTTTTCTTTCTTGCGGAACTTCAGGTTTATTCATGACAAAAAGAAAATGAGAGCGGGGAGGAGGTAGAAGGAGGAGATATGCAATTTGGAAGAGTGGATAGGATATGAATAAGCTGGTTTTGAAAATCATCAAAACACGACACTGTTATATGTAGCAGTACTTATCTTCTTACCCTTTCCTTCTCCTTCTCCTAATCCATTCTGTCATTTCATCCTTTCTCGAGGATTTTTTTTTCCTGAATATTAGGGGGATGCGAAACTGCTGTATAACTTCTTTGGTCATTTAATAGCTTTGTATGGATGGACAAAATGGCACTTTATCTCATAAAAGCACAACTAACAGCAATGGAAAATCTATCACTCTTCTCATAAGTAACGGTTATTTAGAACACTTATTCTTTGAGCAGTAGTCGAAAGACCTTGAATTAAAGGCTTAGATTCTTTAACAATTAAATAAACTTTTAAGCAACACTTTTAAAAAGATTAACAGAGACCTGGTATAAGCATGTTATCTTATGTTTCTAAAGTCCAGTTTTCACTTACTTCAGAGCGGAGCATTCGTCCTTAAATTATTCGATTCTGAACGCTCTCGTTCACTTTTCGTCCCATGATATCTATTTAGTGCCATCTTTCGTTTCTACTTCTTGTACTTTGACTTATAACTTGACATGCTTGGTTGCAGCGACTTTCTAACTTCGAGATGAAAATTCGAAGGTGTTTTGATGAATTTTGCGATCAGCTTTGCTCATTTAAAATCTTAACTGTTTTGAGAATCACATTTATTCTACAAAATGTAACAAAAAAATTTCCATTCGCCCATTTGAACAATTTGAAACATTTGTCATAACCTCTAGTCTTTAAATTGCTGCTGTAATTGGCTTTTCGTTTCAGAATTTCACTGAGGTTCCGTGGTATAACTTCTTTTCACAACTGTTATTGGTCGTGATACGCAATGCGTATGGGAAAAAGTAAAGTCCCGGTAAGAAAAATAATAGCAGGCGAAATTTAACTTTTTCAACTGTGTTAGCTCAAAAAGGAAAAGTGAAACGACAAATTGGAGTAGGTAGATTGGACTCAATGAGGACTGGCAAAAACCAAACATATTTTATAGAAGTTTAGTCGGAAATCAATTGATTGGAAAAAAGATGTGAGTCATTTGAAAACATCGTGCGTTGCGAAACGATTTCTACAATTAGTAATATTTACCTAGTCTGAAAATGGTGTGGTGGAACTCTCCAGTATCTCTTTTTCAGTATTTTAGTAATCTCGACAGTGATGACTTGCATGTTAGCGAAAGTTATGAACAGGATATTCATGGCATTCCAGAAATAGGAGTAAGTTTGGGATGTGAAAGTTTGGTGCTTTTTTAGAAAATAAATTTAGGCAAGTACGCATACTGCTGTAAACGCACTACTGTTCTCATGAAAAAAGCCAAAAAACAAAAATCAATATGTTCCTCAGTATGCTTATCGAATGATTTATTTATCTTTGAAACAATGAAAATTGAATTTCTATAACAATTGAAAAATTCAAGAATGGAATTACGAATTTAAAAAGAGCTTCTATATATATTTAACCTAGCAACAACGAGAATACTCCTGCAGTACGTATGCGGAACGGAGAACTTATGGTAGAGATGAAAATGGTGAACTTGTTGTTCATATTGAAAAGGATGTAAGTCATTGTATTTAAATACGGCATTCGCACAACTTTCTAAACATTTGGAATTTTGAAATTTAGGAATTTCCCTTGATTACTATCGATGGACTTAAGAATCGGTTTGTTTCTAATGTGGTAAAAGAAGTAAAGAAACTGGAGAATTTGTTATTCATAAATAAAACAGTCGATCTACGCAATTTCACTCTTTACGATGTGAATATAGTGCATCAATCAGTAAAACTGTCAATGACTTCCATTTGATGATGTTAAATTTGATCAAATCGATGGATGGGTTTATTTGTGTATGCGTGGTAATGCTTCTCCAGAAGATGTTTAAATAGGCATACGAGCAGAGGATGCACTATTTGCTTAAAACAAACAAAATAAACTCAAACATAATCAGAAACATAAATTCCAATAGCACACACATATTCACTGGTTGTATTGCGTTCCGCTAAGTTGATGTTCTTCAGGAAAAAGGTTTGTTAATTCATATTTGTTAAGAGCTGTCTAACAATCTCCAAATAGTTCTTTAAGATGGCATTCTGATGACTATCGATGCAACTGAAAACGTGATGAAATTTAAGCGTGAACGACACAAACCTTCATTCTTCTCTCACTGTACCGTAATGCATATCTCGAGACAAGGAAGGGCATTCTATTTGTGCTCGCCATTTACATTACAATTAGATATACTTTATATTTGATAATAGCTCTTTATGAATTAATAGTTCTATGATTTCTGGGTTAAGGAAAATGGACTTTTGCAATGACAATTCGTTTATCATTCCAATTCAATCCGTTAAGGGAGTGGGAAATGTTTAAACTAACGACTATTTGTGCAAAAAGTAGATTTTTGAAGATGAGGTAAGAAATAATGTAATTTTAATTGTTGCAGCATTTTCAGCCTGAAGTACCAGTGAAACCAGTGAGTCCCGTGAGACCAGTGAGTCCCGTGAGACCAGTGAGTCCAGTGAGACCAGTAAGTCCAGTACGACCAATAACACCGGTAGAACCGCTCGGTCCAATTACTTCATCAAAAAATACTTGTTGGTACCGACATTTAAAGAAAACAAACAATAACTGTAACCGATGTAACAAAACAGTACATGGTGGCCGTCCAGTCACACCGGTACAACCTTTTGACATCTTGCCTGCTTCAATCCCACGTATTCAAATTGATAAAGCTAGCACAAATGGTTTTTCATCGCGAAGTCATTGCAACAACACCACTTTTTACGGTTCATTTTGTTTTAGTATCTTTTCAAAAGTCTAGTAAATAATGGACAGAATTTTTTTTTTTGACTACTATCAATTTTTTTCTTTCAGCTTCCATCAGCCATGTCTTCATCTTCATGCAAAAGTGTAACATCAAATCGAAATATTTCTTTTCTATAGTTATCACAGCTTCTATGAACATAATTTTGGTCTCTTTTGAAAAGTCTAGTAAATAATGGACATAATTAAGACTGCAACGAATTTTGACTTTTATTCATTGTATCGATAGGTGGATTCAAGATAAATGTAACAAAATGCCACCTTCCATTGGGTATGAAAACAAATGTCATTGTATGCAAAAAATAGTACCTGATTGTGACACATTTTTAACACTTAAATATTGAAAAAAAAAAATAAAAATTGTCACAAAAAATAATAAATAAAAATTGTCACAACTGTTGTCAAAAAAAATTGTCACAAAAATTGTCACAAAATTGTCTAAATAAAA